ACAAGGAATAATTAAAAGTGCAATGCATCTGATCAGCAGGTTCTGTGTACTTGTGAAGGATTGAAATCCATGGAAGCCATAAATTGAATGTATGTACAAGATCAGTGTTCTCAGGAGAGTTTACAAGTCACCACCAAAAGTCAGATAAAGGATCTAGATGAATATCAACACCAGAGGGTGTGGTCTGCAACATCTGTCTGAATGTGGCTTTTGGAGTTGCACAACGTTGAACAGAGCCATTTGGAAAAGTGATGTCCACATGGCACGATGACATCATCATGGTAACATTCAAAGAACACAAAATATCATGTGCCAGAAGATTAACGAGACAAGATGGAGAAAGTAGAAACGAATGATGAAATGAGAGATTGTTCCACCTACAAGGAACTTCTTCAGAGAACGGCCACTCCTCTGTCAAACCTGAGAAGCCGATAACAGATGTAGTACGCTATGAACATGGGAGTGGCGAGTTTAAAGTAGAGTACCTTGCTCCTGAGTCGATCAAGCACAAATGATTTCGACCGTTGATAGTCACTTTGACTAGTGGTTCAAGAAACATTGTCTGTGGGCTCAGAGAATCACCTGTTACAGACTTTCAGCAGCCCTATTGCTGAGGCATCTGATTAGATCCAGGTGCCTGAAGGTGAACATGGTAGTACATTAGCAACCTGAGCCGGACGTGATCCTGCTGGTCCTTGCACCTGCTGATAAAGAGCCAGGCAGTTTCGCGCCCAGTGTCCTTTCTTGTGACAAATCAGACATCTGTCATCTCTCACAAGAGTTCTCCTGTTTGTCCTGGAGCCTTGACCATGTGCTCGTGGTCTGCCACGATTCTGAAAGCCACCACTCACAGGTTGTGAATTCCATGAGTAGGACTGAGGCCATCCAGGTACAGGTGCTTGTGCATTGTGTAAAAAAGCCTAGGCTGTGCATACATCTGCTTATCTGTGGCTTTCTGTTGGTTCACTTTATCTCTCATCTCTTTAAGCTGTGCTTTTGTCAGCTGTGCTTGTAAGGAGGAGAGTTCATTCTCATCATTCTCCTTAGCTTCTTTGTCATTATCAATATACTGAATGATGTTAGCTGACCACTGCTTGAAGGGGAGAGCATTTAAGCCTATCACCTGTTTCAACAACTGCTGGATATGTACAGAAAGGGAAGACTCAACAGCACTGCAGAATAGTAAACCAACACTGTCAACCACTGTAATTGTGCCAAAGTTCACGTACCCTGATAAGGTACTGACTTCCTGTCTCCCCCGTCTGTGGAGGAATGCGAGACAGCTTGACACTCTGGGCTCGTAGTGGATATTTCATCCTGACTACAGGCCAGAGCTCATGTATTACAGTGTGAAGTGAGATTGAATTACCGTCTCCGTCCATGCTCACTAAGGCTTCAACTTGCTGTAGCATACTGAGAGAGCTACAAGCTGTGAAAATGCATACAGCTTGTCATCTTCACTACTGTCCCCACTGGAACATTCACTTTCAGTCATAGCCGGCACTGCCATGTGACAGACATGCTTTTTCTTCCCTCTCACAGAACTAGCAGAATCAGTACCACAACCAGAACTATGAGTTTTCACTGAAACACCACACGCTTTTTGCAACTTTTTTCACAGGGTCTGAATCTGCTGAAGCACCACCATAACCTGAAGCACAAGCTTTATCACTGTGAGCGGCCTCAGACTCCATTTTAACGGCATCCAAATATTGCTGTGCACCACGACAGTCACTTTCACTACCGGGATAAGCAGCTGTCTGTAATATTCCCCCGTGGACAACAACCAGTGGCGAAATATGTTGATTACTCACGCCAGGAGTAATTAATGGCATCTGGTGTGATGCACAGACTTTCTCTGAAAGTCTGTGAGCCTGAGAGAGCTGCTCTCTGTCTGTGTGTGTGTCACTGGAAAGAGTAGCAGGCGTTTGCGCTTCATTCACACTGGGGTCATCAAGGGAGAGTACCTCACATCTTCTCCATGCTGTTACACTGCATGTACCTGGACCACAGTTGTGAAAACGTTTTGTCATTTCAGTTCTCTTGTAGTGACACGACTGGAGAAGTGTTCACAACTGTAGTCCAGGCATATGCAGAAAATGTGAGGTACTCTACCTAGTTATTCACTGTACTCCATCTTGGCCCAAAACTTCAGCTCCATGTAAAAAAGGAGGGTTACTGTGTGGGAGATAGTGTTTGTTGTTGTTGTTTTTTTTTTTTTACAGGCCAATAAAGTTACTAAAACTTAACACCTGCTTCACTGACCACATCTGGTAAATGGTCCCTCTGAAATGACATTCATGAACAATTTTCTTAATGGCTCAAAGCAATGTTCTCATGTGGGTTGACAGGATAAGTTTTCCCAGATCATGTTGGCTTCAAGGCAGGCTGTGGGGGAATGTGCACACACACAAGACAAAGTTAACCACACTTGTTTTCAGTGTCTTTGTGTAACATAATTTGTTTACAGATTTTATTCACACATTCAAAAATGTTTGTATTTACAAATCTTTCCTACACATGTTCAGAAAAATTGTGACCATGTACATACATTACTATTTACCATTAAATTGCCATTCATTTGACTAGCAGGCAGTAATGGGTCACACTTAAGATTGGTGTAATGCTGTGTGCTGAGGAGAAACAGAAAAAAGAAATGTTACAAGATATGTTTTAGGCTTTTAGGCAAAACTGGATTATTTCTACCATTTATATAAATAAATAAATAAACAAATACTGTAAATACAATTTACAATTTTCAGCTGCTTTGGCAAGTCTAGCAATGCAGCTTATCACATAAATAAATAAATAAATAAATAAATACTGTAAATACAATTTACAATTTTCAGCTGCTTTGGCAAGTCTAGCAATGCAGCTTATCACACATTGTCAAATGTAGTTTATATCTAACGATGTATCCATACCCTTACTTTTAGTCAACATAGGATAGTACTGAATGTTAGTTTACTTTTCCTGACAAACATACAAAAAATACTATTTAAAAGTTGTTTATTCTGCAAGTCGTCTTACAACAAACCATACACCTGCCTCAATCTCATCCATCCTCTCTGCAGTCTCATGCCGATTTTGCATTTATTATTTTTCCTCCTCCACCACAGGTTGATTCTCCAACTAAAGATGAACACAGCACAAGACTGAATTGCAGAAAAATGGGCAGTAATTCAAGAAGTGTGGAAATTTTCAACTTCTACACAGTGACTTTAAGCTTCTGTCTTCCTGCTCGAAACCTTCTGAAAGATGGGATCAAATGCTCACCGTAGCACATCATCCATCGTGTGTCACCTCCTTCCCGATGCCCTTGCCTCTGTAACTGGGCTCTGTAGAAAACAAGGGGAATATAGCGTCCAGATATAAAGAGATATACACAGGAAATGATTGAGATGGACAAACCACAGCACAGGCTGACTGTAGATATTTGCTCAGCCTTTGATTTTGAATCTCTTTAAGATGAGCACACTGGGCATCACCTGCTATTGTGATCTCCAGCTCAGCTGAGGAAAGGTCTGTTGGGTCCATCAGGAACATGTTGACATCTCCCACCGTGCACTGCTCCTCTTCTATACTGGGATCTGCCCATCGCTGCTTATCCAAGATGATGAATGTGCACTCTGGCAAAAAAATAAAAGTCAAATTAAATAGATTTTCTTTAAGTAAAAGTTGAATGATTTTTACTAGTGCATGACCTCAAAGAATGACGTCTTATTCTCATATCATATCCAATGATTACCAGTTATTTATAAACACTTTAACCTAACAAATCTGATGGATGATGGTATGAATGTCTGGAAGGAAGGATTTGGAAGCCATAAGGACAGAACTTGAAAGCAGTGTTGACCTCTGAAATTCTGAATGTTAAAAACTTGTTACTCCAACATAGAATAAGTTAACAAAAGTAAAAGAAGTTCTCTCAGATTTATCTTTCCAGCCACTGCTGTATGATCGGTTCAACCAAAAAGTTTTTTTCTATCCCTGTTTTATTTAAGTAGTTTTCAGAGAAATAAAGGTGTCCAGTTATTCACTTGAAAAATCTAAGGCTAAGTCTGGCAAGACTTCAGATTTATACCAACTGCTTTAGAGGACGAATAAGAGCATGTTCTGTGTGTACATTCACTGCAGAATAAGTCTTACTGTCACCATCTTCCTGCCAGCTCCCCCGCATGTCGTACTCCTGTTCCAGGTTCAGTGTCTCTGAGGCAGTCAGATGCTGCAGCTCAGGATGCTTCATCCATTCATGATACCTGCAGAGTGTAAACAGGTGGATAAGAGACAGCGACTCCAGGTTTCTACAGCTTTAACTTAATCATGTATCCAGATGCCAAAGGACCAGAGCTGGTTCTGCTGTGCCAGTTAAAGAGACTTCAAACTGTCAAAGGATCAAAAGCTTGTATTGACAGCTGGGTCAGATGTGTCATCTGTCCTAAGTTATTTCCAATGTCATGAGCTATTTAGACCTATTACTTTCTTTCTTACACACAATCTTTGTATTGTTTCAAGTACAGCAGTGATCTTTTCCACTTTCCACTATTAAGTGCAATTGCAAATGACAGGAACCTCATAATGTGAAATAAAAAATAAGATTTTGCATGTGTGTGACAACTGGATTGGCTGTGAACTGTAAAGAACTGACTATTTTTAATACCGAGACGTGTGAGGGAATTAATAAATAGGAGGAATTTAGACTACTACTGGAAATTACTAGAATTTAGACTTGCTTAAACATATGGTAGGCTATGTAAGCAATTTGTCAATAAACCACCGTTGAGCATCTATTTTGATAGATGTTATGATTGCATCAAAATTTTTATTCGCTTTTTTTTTTTAGCTTTGTGCTCTTATTATACCAAAAGCCCATTCAATAACAGTGGGCTTTTACATACCAACGTAAGTGACAAGTATCGATCCTCATCCACACCAGCGATGTACCCAGACCCCTTTACGATAGGCGTGGCCAGAGAGGCCAAATATATTGCGTACATCCGCACATGCGCAGTACCGCCCTTTAGAAAGTCCTTTTTATGTCTAGCGTTGAACGACTAGCATCAAACGAGGTAAGGCCTGTACAATTTAACTTATAAATTCGTATTTTGTAAATTCCTGACATGCTTTAATAGGCGGATGTGGAATTCGTATCATTATTTATCACATTACTGTTCATCTTGAATAGTTGCAGAAGATTTCATGTATTTTATGCGACTTTATACAGCGCGTGTTCCATGTGGCTAGCGAAGGTAGCTTAGCATTGGCTAGATACCAAGACAGTCATGTCTGGGCAAGTACTTGACACATTGCTTTGGATTGTTCTTTTTACTTTTAATCTTGCCAGTGGTTTTGGTAGGATGTATTTTGTGGGTGTAATTTCAAGGCTTACACACAGAAAAAACATGGCGGGTAAGGTAGCCAGTGTTTGCCGTAATAAACAGCTAAATCCACAGCCACATACTAATTTCCGCATAAATCAAATTGATAATCATTAACGTTTGCCCCCCTCCCTCCTCCTCAGCATCAAGATGCAGCTTTTCTTGCGTGCCCAAAACACACACACCCTTGAGGTGACCGGCCAGGAAACGGTTGGACAGATTAAGGTAAAGTTAGGGTGAATGCCTACGTCAGACTTGCAGTCTGCCAGTGGGCATTTTTTAAAGCACCCTTGCTGCCTCATTTTTTTTAAGCAGATTTAAACCCAAAATGTTATGTGGGGATGGTTATGAATATACGCCTATTTCACGGCGTCTTCTAGGCCCACGTCCAGGCTCTGGAGGGTCTTTTGGTTGAGGATCAGGTGCTGTTGTTTGCTGGGTGCCCACTGGAGAATGATGCATCCCTGGCTTCCTGCGGTGTTTCAGAGCACTGCACCTTGGAGGTAGCTGGCAGGCTGCTGGGAGGTCAGTACCTAGATGCAACACACAACTCTACACGTTTAGTAGAATTACCATTTGCAAGAAAGCGTGTTAACTGTGAGCATACTGAATATGCTCAGTGGTATCTGAGCATTTGTAACATAACTTGTCAACCCAAGAGGCAGTTTACAAGATGGCCTGTAAACAATGTCAGGACAAGTCATAAGCTTCTGTTTCTTCACAAACTCTTCATTTTAACTTTATTGCAACATTAAATGTGAAATTCACAATGCATCAGTAATTATAATGCAGTAATATGATGTACTGAGTAGCACAATTTGCCTTGTCTGAGTACTTTACTTTTAGAATGTTAAGCATGTTTAGATGCTAGTACCTTTTACTTAACATTTTGAATGCAGGACTTTTATTTGTAACATTTTTACACTGTTCTGCTACTTAAAGGATCTGAGTATTACTTCTACCACTGGTCCTAAATGTACTTTAAAGGGACACAGAGGTAACTGATTACTGAAAGAAGCCTAGTGGTCTGTGGGGAACCGTGTTTCTTTCCCAGCGCCTCCTCCACTTTAGCTTTCTTGTCTTGATACAAGTTGTGTATCTTGGTTACAGTGGTGGTTCTCAAAGGCAATTCATATGTGCAGTCTCTGGATGCGATGTTAATTATTTCAAGCAGACGCTTGTCTTCCACAGTGTTAATTAGCCTGTAAGCTGTAGCCACCCATGTAGCTATCGCTGTTTGAAAGTTTGCTGCTTGTAGAACTGTCCAGGAATCTCATTCGCAAACTACCCTACTCGGCTGTGTGCTTGGCCAGTAAGTGGTATTTGATACCTGATGGTAACTCGGTTCGCATCAGCAGTAAATGCAAATCACTTGTAACCATCTGCCAGGGCTGTGAAGCTGAACTTACTTTCAGAAGACCCTTTCTTAAATCATTTCTGCTGCTGCATCACTTCCAGATTTCCCAGACTATGGAGTGGGCCAAGGGTCAAAATTTGAGAATGTATTAAATTGGTACCATTAGAAGGAATTTTCTTTAACTATAGCAGCCCTAAAGAACAGCAAAACATTTCATAAGATTATTTCCCATCCATAGATGTATTAATGTATGTAGAAGCTTTTTCTCAAATGTCCCAGTAGCATTTCTCAGCTTTACTTTTTTTTCCCCTTCCACCAGGTAAGGTTCACGGATCTCTGGCCCGTGCTGGCAAAGTGAGGGGACAGACACCCAAGGTAAGAAGCTATTACACCTGTTCTTGCATAATATTAACCCATTGCTGTGTATTAAGGGTTAGGATGGAGTGCTCTTCTAATACCATAGACTTGTATATGAAGTTGGATTTTACATTTTGTTTTGGATGAGGTAGTTATTAAAGGTTAGGGTTATTTTCTATAAATTTTTAACACTACCCATACAGAGACTAAAACCAACAAGGATTTGCCTGTGTTCATGTCTGTGCCACCGATCTCTATTGCTGTTTAAAAAAAAAAAAAGGGTGAAACACAGGACTGTGATGTTTCACTGTTTTTCAACAACAATGGAGGTCTATGGCACAGACAAATATGCTAAACAAGGACAGAGTTTAACAAGCAATTCATGGCTGGCTTTTTATTCTGCATGGGGAACGCCGAATACTGTTTAAAAAAAAAAAAGTCTTCATCTTCTAATGCTGTCTAGGTTGACAAGCAGGAGAAAAAGAAAAAGAAGACTGGTCGTGCCAAGCGTCGCATCCAGTACAACAGGCGCTTTGTGAACGTTGTGGCCACCTTCGGAAAGAAGAAGGGACCCAATGCCAACTCCTAAGTGATTGATTCCCAAAGGGAGAAGCAAGTTAAATGTTATCCTATACAGAATAAAAATTTGGCTTTGACAAAATGAATTTTGTTTGTGTATAATTTTTTTTTAAATGAGTTAGCAGGAGATGAATAAAGTGATGTCATTCCTTTACATGAACTGATTTATTAAGCATTTACACTGTACATGCAAAGATCAGGCAGTATTTAAGGGTGTCCCATATAAACTGAGCCATCCCACTTTGGGGGGGAGAGAGAAACAAAACACTAAACTACTTAATATGACCCATTCCCCATAAGAGAAGCTGGGCACAGTGTCCTGTAAATTACATTAACTTGTAAACTTTAGAACAAGGCCTTCAACTACACTCAGCTGCTTTAGTAGGTACACCTGTACAAGTGTATGCACTTCAGTATAACTTGTTCACCCTAACAGCTGCTTATGAAGCTCAGAATGTTTGTTTTTGGTGAAATGGTCAAATGTATACCTACATTTATTACTGAGATCATAGTTAAAGGTAGTGGTGTACTGGACTATAGTTTATATTCAGAGGTGTTCCCAATAGTCTGACCCTCTCATTATGTAGCTGGGGCAGACACAAATACAGCCACCACTATGTAGTTGAGTACACCATCATTAGCGATGGACTCAATATTAAACGATGTATACGTTTAACAATTTCACCAAGAACAAACACTGTGAGCTTCAAAAACAAATGTTAAAGTGGAAATGTTGCATTGACGTGCATGCAATTGTACAGGCGTACCTAATAAAGTGGTCCGTGAGCGTATTTGTCGTCTCCATCCTTGAAATGCAGCACACTGGCCAGCTTGTGTCGGTTAGTCCACAGCCACCAGCTCAACCTCAAAGATCAGCTTTGCATTTGGTGGGATTCTGGTATTACAGCATTGTACCAGTGATGTTATAAAATAAAATTCAAAAACATTTTGTGCAACTTTCTGAAAAAAAAAAAAAAAAACACAATCAAAACTGAAATGCAAAAATGAGCCTGACAGTGACCATCATTAACAGTATATATATATTTATAGGACATGCATGAACTGGGGCACACAAATCAGCTAAAGAAAAGGATACTTTGAGTCGGGTAGACCCTTTTTCCCATATGCCCACTCTGGTTCGATCTCCACTCGAGCCGTTTCACCCTTGCTCATTGTTAGAAGGGCCTCATCCCACTGTGAAAGTAAAGGATTACTGATGATGTGGTGGAGCCAAATGTGATATTAAGATACAGTCATCTGGAAACACAGAGCAAAAAAACAGGAATAACTCACTCCTCTGATCACTTTGCCCATGCCAACTTTGAAGCTCAGCGGTTTAGTCTGCTTTTTCTTTCTGGCCACTGTAGAGAGGAGAACAGTGATGCATAAAACCTGAGTGCAGTCTTCATTGAATACTGATTTAATGTGTATCCAAGTCTACAGGTGGTTACTTCTTGATACTCGGACAATATTTGGGTGGAGTAAGACTTTAAAGTGCAGGTCTGTCAAACCTGCGGGTATGTTGGTGTCAAACACAGTTCCATCCTCCAAAGTACCAGTGTACCAGCAGCTCACAGTCTCGCCTTTTTTTGGAAAGTTTGTCTTGTCACCTTTCTTCAGCACCGTCTTACTGTATTTGGGTGGACCCTGAGAAAACCAAAGCACGTGTGGCTTATAATCGTTTATATACTACATGTAAAGCAAAAAACAAAAGCTTGTAAATTCAGTTTTCTGTGACCAGCAGTACCTCATCCACAACCTCTGTTTTGGCCTCTTTGGGCTTTTCTTCAGTTTTCACAGCTTTAACCGGCTCAGTCAATTCTTCCACTGGTTCGGTGCCACTGAACC